CCGGGCTGGATTCGAACCCGCCACCTTAGGTGTATGTGGCTGGCGTCTTAGCTGCTTGAGCCACAGGGGCCAGTTTCTAATATTGTCAGATCCTATTCAATTTGGTGAACACTGATTGAGTCTCTAGAACTATGATGAGCAAATTATGGCCTACTGGCCAAATCAGGCCTGCCAAATGTTTTTGTCAGATAAACTTTTGCTAGAAGACAGCCATGTATTGCCCATGGCTGCTTTTGTACAAAGTTGTGACAGAAACTAAACAGCCCCATGAAACCTAAAATATTTATTGCTTGATGTAATAATCTGCTGACTCCTCCTCCAAAAGGCAGCAAAGCAAAGTTTACCTGACTTGTGCCATGAAAAGGCATAATAGGAATACTTCCCTTAAAGGAACAATCTATGTACTGTGCTAAGATCTGTGCTTGACAGTGGAGAATGGTAAGGGGGGGAATGGAGGCATAATTGTGCTTAGAGAGACCAGAAAGGAAAGAAGTCAAAGCCAGCCTTGTCAAGGTAAGTAATGTAACCAGCCAAAAGGTAAGTAAGAAATAGGAATTTCCTAGGTAGATAAGCCATCAGAAGGAATTCCAGGAAGGCAAATCATCAGCTAGAGAGGTACATGTCCAGAAAACTATGGGTAGCTGAGTATTTCTTGAAAATAATGTATGTAGTAGAGAGTGATAATAGTATCAGGCTGAGGTTGTAGACAGGCTCAGATCACTAAAGGCCATAAACACACTTTATGTTTGTGTGTTTTATAGGTAATGGGGGAGTTAATAAACGTTTGTTGAAATAAGAAGTTGGGTAGAGCATTGGACAGAGAGAGCTTCCAGGGGACTGGCTCTTCTTTTCTGACCTAAGACATTGTCTGATTTCTTTAGTTCAGCAAATATGTGTTAAACTCTCTGGACTAAGTAGTGTGCTAGATAGTAGAATACAAAGATAAATAGGACATGGTCTCTACTATATAGGGACTGTGCTGTACAGCAATTACAGTACTGTTGTACTTGATAAATGTATTTATCAAGAGCCCTGAGAGTATGGAGGGCAGAGTGGCTAAGTGCTGGAAGAAGGTGGCTCAGTTTTGAGATGAATCCTGAAAGAAAGCTTTGGGCTTCCCCTACTGAGAGGGTGACTGGCCATTCCAGGCAGAGTAGAACTTGAGTGAAAACAGACTGTAGGAGTGGAGCATTTGTTACCTCCAATGTACCTAACCATCCTTAGCCATATAGGACTTATCAGTCTTTTTCTACCACCAATGGGTCTGGACATTTATTAAGCAAAGAATAGTACTTGCTGTGTTTCCTCTGCTTCTGTAAAACATTCCTTCCGGGTTGTAGAAGATTTACAGCAGATAACCTTCCCACCTTCTCCAAGGCCTCCAGCAGATGACCTTTGATCTCTTACATCACATCCCAAGTTCTTGAGCTATGCCTCCTCCCCTCCTGAGCTTCACTTATGCTACACTCTGAACTATTTTAAGAAAGACCCTGTACCCTCACTCCGTGCTGTTGCAATTTTCCTTCTTCGATGGCAGCCCCTCTGCTTGCAGATGTTCTTGGTAAATCTCTGCTGTCAGCTGTGCTTGGCCTGGTTCTTTGTGGCACCTTTCTACCTTTCCACTTCTAATTATTGGAAAACTTGTACCAAGAGGTCTTGTGTGTAGTGTGAGTCAGACAGCAAAAAGATTGCCTAAAGGGATGCCAATCAGGAGACTATTGCTCAAATCTACATTGAGTAGCAAGAGCCTGAAGTAAGAGATTACTGGTGAATGGCTCAACTGGTAGATTCTCAAGACTGTAAAGGAAAATTCGGTTGGAACTGGCAAGGAAGAAAGGAACTGTGTCCAGGAAGCCAGGAAGGAAGAAAGGGAGAGAGAGAGAAAGGAAGGAAAGAAGAAAAATAGAAGGCAAGTCCAACTGGGAAACTTAGGAAATTGTAGTTTGAGAAATGACGTTAGGGGCAAGATGAGGAGTTCATTTATATCTCTGTATCTGTCTGTCTACACATCTATTACTGAGTTTGGTGTGATGGCAAGGTATCTAAATAAACAATGTGGCACAAGTAAAGATCCAAACAATACAGCAATAAGATTTGGGAGTTGTTGGGGAAGAGGGGAGGAAGTCTTATTAGACATTGAAAATATTCACTGTCAAATGATTTTCTTAAAACAGTCTTTTCATGGTGTCACTTCTTATTTCAGAAACCATCAGAGACTCACTATTACGTAATTGCCGAAACTCATTAACATGTAAAGTTCTTTTTCAGTTTAGCTTTAACTCTGTCCTTTCCTGTCTCCCTTTTGAGCCCATCCATGCCCGTGTAGGCAGTGTTGCCTTGCTTGGACTATTCTTTTTGCTAAGTGGAAGCTTGGTCTTGCCCCTGGAATTTTCATCTTAAACACCACTGTCCTTTTATGACTGGATTTTCTCCCTATTCTGAAATTAAGTCTCTGCCTATCCTAAAAACTCAATATAATTCTTATTTTTTTCTTCTACTTTTTACCCCATAACTTATTCTTTTTCTCTGTATACAAGTCCTTTTTTTTCTGCATCTGCCTAACTTTCCTCTCCTAATTTTTTAGCATTTTCTGGAATTAGTTAATTTCCTCAAATACCTTGGAAAATACAAAGGGTAATTTGCTTATCAGAGTATATATATTGCTATGTATATTTAAGGTTTTTCCTCTGAAGAATGACTCCACTGTTTTTGTAAAAATGATAGATATGTAGGCTTCATATTACCCCTTTATCTAAAATAACTGCTTTATAGTCCTGTGTGCATAATTCTCAATAATTTACTTATGTTTTGTTTGCACTAAATAAATCTATGGTAAATGAATGAATCCAGTTTGTTATTCTATAATATTATCCTTAAAGAGTTTCTATTTCCTGCTGTTTGAATAAACACATTATAAACACATACACACCCCAAAACTATGAGCATAAATTGGTTTGTGGGAATCTGGAGTTTCCCAGATTAATGCCACTTGATTTACTTTCTGAATCTAGTGTAAATTTCCAGCTGAATTCTCCTAGCAAGCAGCTTCAGTTTTAGGGATCAAATTGTTTTTATCTTCTTTGGTTTGGTCCTTCTGAGATTGTTTTTTTGTTTGTCTAGAACTGTAAGCAAATGTTTTTCTCATTCATTTAGACAGCGTAAATTGTATTAGTGGAGGCCAAGTGACAAATGCTCCCAGCAGAGGACTTAGGAGGGTGCTAGCACCCCTTTATTCCAGGTGCCTGCCCGTTAACATGCTTAATTTCAACTTCAACTAATTTTTCTATCATGGAAATCCATATCTTTCTCAAAGAGACATAGATTCCTTATGCCCCCTTTTGGACAAAATTACTTTATTTACCTGAAAGTGAATATAAGTAGTGAGATGTTGACTTTGAGGTGAGAGTGTAGGAAAAGATGTTTACAATCAAATGGTGGCTTACAGCTTTTGCTAAACCAGCCACACTCTGAAAGGCCCATGTGCAATTTTTATTTTCCCTTTAGATATTTTAAATAATTAGATTCAGAAATGCTCAAAGGCCTTTAAAATTAAACACACACACATGAAGCAAAATCCTCAAATTCTTTAGATGTTGTTTAGAATGGCTACAAAGCATTACTGAGAACTGGCTAGGAATAGTTTAAGGATTATCTGCCAGCCCTGCCCAAAGGTAGGAATTGTTGGAGTGTATGGCATAATGATCTGGGATCACTATGGATTAAGGGCTAGCTGCAACTGGGAGGAGTGTTTCCTAAGACCTGTCCCAAGAGCAAAATATAAAGCTGTGGTCAGTGCCAAGTGAGATGGGCACATGGGATTAAGCACAGGAGATAAGTCTGGGATACTTGTTGGGGGACAGAGAGATTCATGAGGAACTAAATGGAAAACTAAGGTAGAGAATCAGTCGGGTGGTTTGGATTCTAATTTTAAAAGGGA